ACTAGATTCAAATTTATTGACCATCCATAATTAACCTGAGAAAGTTGTGATAACTCATTTTGAATCATTGCAGTCCTTGTGCTGTAGATACACTTACAGTGCTATTTGGATTTTGAGCAAGCATTGAAGAGTTGCCAGTGATATATTTCCAAGTCAACGTGAAATGAACCAGGTGTGGAGCCTGCGTGTGCTGATCTGCTGTCCTTGTTCTACTAGGCAATAGATTTGGTTTGATTTGCATGTGATTTATTATTGTCACGTGTACCAAGATACAGTGAAAAGTTAGGATTTGTCTGGTCAGCACACAAAATGCAATCTTCCATAAGTACACCAGGGTAATAGAACAGAATGCAGAACATAGTGTTACAGCTACAGAGAAGTGCAGGTTATGATTAACTCATGAGAGATCTCAAAAGTGTGATGACATTTCCGGTCACCCTTTTATGGGAAGGGTTTTTTAAAAATTTAAATTGACTCATGGGACATGGATGTCTCTGCCCTGGGGAGCATTTATTGCCCGTCCCTCATCCTTCAGAGGGGACTGTTAAGAGATAACCACGTTCCTGAGAGTCTGGAGTCACATTAGGCCAGATCAGGTAAAGATGTCGGATCTCCTTCCTTAAAAGACCATTCATGAACCAGATGGGTTTTTCTGACAACTGGCAAAGGTATCACGGTCATCATTAGTTCCTTAATTCCAAATTATTTATTAAATCCAAATTCCACTATCTGCGTGGTGGGGATTTGAGTCCAGGTCCCCAGAACATCAGCTGAGTTTCTGGATTAATAGTCTAGCACTAATACCACTAGGTCATTGCCTCCCCATTAACATCTTAAACTTGAGGGTTCAGAAAAGATTTGTGAGAATGTTGCCAGGACTGGAGGATTTGAGTTATAGGGAGAGGCTGAACTGGCTGGGACACTTTTCCTGGACCGTCAGAGGCAGTAGGGTGACCTCTATATAGAGGTTTATAAAATCAGGAGGGTGTGGATATAGCCGAAGTGTCTCTTCTAGGGTGGGAGAGTCCAAAGCTAGAGGACATGGGTTTAAAGAGAGAGAGGAAGCTTTTTAAAAAAAGGGTTATCTCAATACAACAGGACTTTGATCAGAAGGGCTGAGAAGTGGCAGATGGACTTTCAATGATAAGTGTAAGGTAATGTATTTTAAGGCAAATCAGGCCAGGACTTAAACACTT